AGTCCTTGCTCCCAGCTGCCTTTTGCACTCTTCCAAGAAAAGCCTTTGCTTCATTGATCTAACAAAGGCCCATGCAACACCTGCCGACATATTTATAGAGCCATCATCGGGGAAAACAGAACTGCACAGTATTTGTCCAATCTGCTTTGCAAAATTTAAAGCACCAAATTTTCAATGCATCAGAGTCCTCGATAATCTTGTGAAAAAGAGACTTTGAAGAAAACATTTGTTGTGCTTGCCAAAGCTGGCCATTATTATAATGTTTTCCACCAAAGGCTAAATAAGGGGTGGTCGTAAGAGTAAAAATTTATTTCTTTATCATTGTTCACTTACTTAAGTACCTATTGCTTAATATATCACATTTGGGTTTAATATTGAAGGATGAAACTGGATATCTCTGAAGAAATAAAAGGAATGGGAGAAAAGATGGGGACCGAGGAATTTTTAAAAATAACAGGTAGCCTTTCTTCATCATCCAATCATAATTTTACTGAAGCAATAGCTGTTGAGTGCTTATCATTTGCAGACATGAGTGTATTTTTGGCGCTCAGCCCATGGAATAGAGAACCAGAGGGTTTATCTAACTGAAGCTAGGGGTAGGGTTTGTGTAGCTTTGAATGACGATGGATGGACCACCAACCAGACTGGGCAGCATATGAAAAGTGGAAGCTGACATTCATGCCAACTAGGACCAGGGGTCCTGGATTCAGGGAGGAAAAGGGCGTTGAGGAATGGGCAGTGAAGGAAGTGCTTATGTTTCAACACAAGCTCAATTGCATAAGAGAAGAGGAAGGAGGAAGCCTTGGAAGAAGACACAGTGCCTTCCCTGTACAGCGAAGAAAGAACAAAGCCAAACATCCAGTTCTTATCTTCTGGAAAACACTCTTCAAACTACACCCAACCTTTCTGCTTAGACGACTGTGGCTAGCTTCTTTGTTTCCTTGTGCCCTCTTTACACAGGATCTTATCTGCAGCTTTCCCAGATCACAGAGGCTTGAAATTTGGGACAGGTCCAAGAACAAACTCTCAGAGTCTAGTTGTCACCCAAGACTGGTTCTAGGTTTTGGCACAGAGTTGGAGTACTCCAATATTTAGTAATTCAGGAGTCCAGTACCCATGCCTGGCTATTCACTGGATACCAGAGTATGGTCCCATGCTTTCAGTACCCTCCCAGCCAGCTGGTTCCTCTCAGCCCTTCACAAACCAAGGGAAACAGCCTTGGTGAGACAGACTTAGTGACCAATAATGTCTAAGGCATTGTTGATACTCAAGTTTGTGGTGATTACAAATCCGCAGTGTGTGATTATAACTTTATAACCATGTTGCACAATAGAGCTGTGTATGTGCACCTTGAAGGCATCAAATTTATTCTTATATTTTCCGAATCTCGGAGTTTTCTTTACACCCTGATAAGAAAGTGGTGGTTTCTTTGGATTTGGGATTTGTTTTTGTTTTGGAGATTTGTAGTTGTTGGTTTTATAAACCTTCTGGCAGTAGTTTGCTCATCTGGAAAAACAGACACCTAATCACTCTTCCCTACTTCTCAGAGCCGCCATGATGATTAACATAATGCAAGCATAAGTGCTCTAATAAACATCAGTGTTTAAAAATCTCTTACAGATGTTAATATGGGGCTTGCTAAAAAATAGAATCTCATAAGGCCTGCAGAACATAAGCATCAACCTCCAGAACTTTCTGAGTCTGTGAGCCACAGGTTGGAGCATGATAGAGCAAGACCTTAAGAATTAGAGAAACCACCCAGATGCTAACTTGGGTCCAGAAGCCCATGCTAAGTGAAGTCATTCCTTTCTCTGTCTTATTTCTGTGATTAAAAGAGGTCAGTGTGTTTGTCCCCTGCAGGGGAAAAATGGCTGATTGCTTTTCCCTCTGCTCAAGGATTCCGGGGTGTGGACACGAGGGGTTCTGTGAAATTCCACCAAAAGCCTCTCCCCATGGAACTCTCCATTCACACTGAGCACAGGAGGCCCCTGTCAAGGGCCGGGAGTCATCTGCCTTCCATCTGCAAAACACATAAATCACACCCCAGCCACAAAAAGGCTTGTTTTCAGGTCCCACTTGTTATTAAAAAAAAAGGAGAGAAAGTTCTCTTTTCTTTAGCAGAATCCATTTTAAATTTAATTCTGAACTAAGTTATGTCTTTTTGATTGCATAAATCATACAAAAATCTACTTATGTCCAGACTTTGAAAATCTTAGATTATCCATTTTTATTTTTTAATATGTTTTTATTGATTTCAGAGACGAATGGAGAGGGAGAGAGAGAAACATCAATTATGAGATAGAATCATTGATTGTCTGACTCCTGAATGCTCCCCACTGGGGATCGAGCCACAATTCGGGAATGTGCCCTGATCAGGAATCTAACCGTGACCTGCTGCTTCAAACATTGAGCCACACCATGTGGTCTGAATATTCACTTTTAAATGACTGCTAAGTTTGTTCTCTTGGGTATGTTTTTATTACTTTGGTATTGGATCCATATTCGTCATGTTATTTCTGTACAAAACTTATAAATTTCAAGACCCAGAAGAAAAAACACTAAGCAGGAGTACTCATATTCATCATCTCTTCATTCCTTTTAGAGACTAACAGTCTTGTGGTAGATTATAGAAAATGGGATTGGTTCCCCCAATTACCTGGATTCCTTCAACATCCTAACAGCAAAGCAAAAGTGAAAACAATATGTCAGTACAGGGGAAGGTTTATTATCCCTGAAATTCTCAAAATGAGAAATCTGCTTTTGGTTTCTTTGGCTGCCATCTAGTGGTGAATGACATAGTGCCAATAAAGCACTATATCTGTGAAGACAGACTCTTCAAAGCAAAAGCAAAAACACAGTTAATTAAGTAAATATTATTGCAGACATGAGGCTTTTCTAATAAGTCATAGTTAGTTCTAAAATGTCATTTTCTTTCCTGTTTTCTGGTCTGTATTCTATTTCATGAAGAGGCAAAGGAATCCATGATCATTCATGGATTTAGTACTAATACTGTGCATCAGGACCAGGGATATAAGAATGAATAAAATAATGTCCCTGCCTTCTGTGGAGGAGAGCCATGAAATCGAATAATAAGAAGCATGATGAGTGTTTTTTAAAAAGAATAAATGAGTTGTCAGGGACACCAAAAAGAAAGAAAATCTGTATTATGAGTTGAGGTTGATGGTGTGATTGGGAGTTCTCCAGACAGACAAGAGGGAAAGGCATAAAGAAGAGTTAGGAGCTAGGTGTTGGGGAATGCTGAGAGATGGTGTCAGGGAGCTAGGCAGAAGCAAAGTCAGGAAGGACCTTTGAGGCTGCATTAGGGAATTCCAGTGGTCCCCCCTACCCATGGTTTCACTTCTGTAGCTTCAGTTACCCTCAGTCCACCATGACCTGAAATATTAAATGTGAAGCTCCAAAAATGAACAATTCATAAGTTTTAAGTTGTATGCCATTCTGAATATGGTTAGCTCAAATGTACTTGGGCAATTAAAAAATACCTTATATAACTAGTTCCCCGACCCCCTCCACAATTTTATTTCAAAGGAATACCTTGTGGCCTCATTGCGGGTGGCCCGGTTGCTGTGTGGAAAAGTAAGTGCACCAGCTGATGCATTCACCCAGCTGTGGGGGAAACCTGAAAGCAGAGATCCAACCACAGACTGGGGACTAAAAGAAAAAGTTGAGGGTTCTCCATTGAGATAAAAAATCTCAGCTAACTAGAGCCTGGGCCAGTGATAAGCCGGTGAATACCTGCCTCTTGAGAGCTTGTGTGCAGTGGCTAAAACCAATGTTGACTGTGCTCTGTTAGATTTATCTTTGCCAGCTTTCTCTTTGTGAGCATTTTAAATGGAATCTCTAATGCCTAGTGACCATTATATAACAGTCAGATCAGCAGTTCCGTAGCATCCCTATCTTTTCCAATTAACCTTGGATTCTAGGTCTAATGTACTTCAGGCTCAGATCCTCAAAAAGGGAGAGCTTAGTGAGGGCAAAGAAATATTTAGTAATATAATGAGTGTAAAAATACATGCACATAAACCTCGCCTTTCTCTCTCTCTAGGATTTGCAGGTTAAACACACACACACACACACACACACACACACACACACACACACACACACAGCTGGGTTGGTAGGCAAATCTTTCCCAAGGGTCTGTCGACCAAAGCCCAGTCACCTACATATGATTGCAGACAAATGAAAAGCCACTACTTATTATATTTGACATCCAAAATTAACAAGAAAAATCTAGCAGACATTCATCCTTCCTCCTTCTACGTCACTGTGGAGAGTGATAAGGAGGGATAGTGGCTCTGACAGAAAAGGTAGTGATTATAAATGTGGGTCAGGTACAGGACTTTCTTGGGTTCAAATCCTGGCTCTCCTCTTTATGATCATAGACCTCAGGCAATTTAGCAGACCTCTCCATGCCTCAGTTTTCTTAACAAAAAATGCAGATACCTCCTCCTTAGTCTCTTTGAGAGGAGTAAATGAGTTATGACCAAGAATGTGCTTCGGAGGAATGCAGGTAAGGCTCAGTAATTGTCAGCTATTATTAATGTGTCCGGAAGTCTCCAAATATTTTGCAAAGAAAGGCTGGTTGTCCCACTGCCTTCAAGTGTTGACAACTCTGAAGTTGGAGGCTCCCAGAGCATAGTAAGTGAGAAAGCATATATATAAATGATGTATTTAATGTAGAATTTCCTTCTCTGAAAGGAGAATCTCTTAAGAGCTTTTGAAGTCATGTGCCTCCAGTAGAGGTTTATTCTGCCTGCTATGAAAATCCAACTGGTCACCTGTCAGACTCCAATTGTATTAAAAAGAGGACCCCTTTACCTTACCCTCTGCTCCCCAGGTGTTCTCTGATTCCAACTTTGTTTTCTGAAAATTCAAGTCTCAGCCTGAGCCTAAAAAATCTGCCACCTCCCCAAAAATGATGAGGATGAAGAAAAAAAAATTCCTCTAGTGACTTAATTTTTTTTTTGTATTATTTAAAGACATGCAAAGCCTAGAGAAGCTCCTGAGAGATGCTGTAATCTATGGCCAGCCTCGAACCCGCAGAGCTTGGAAAAAGATCCTCATCATGGTGGAGGGCGTCTACAGGTATGTAAATAACTGGAGACATCTCAACACTAAGAAGCCCACAGCAACCTGACAAATGGGGAAAGGCTGACCTCCGACAGAAAGAGGGAACAATGGGTGAGATTTAGATATAATGGAGGGGTCTGAGCTAAGCTATGAATGTGAGCTCTTAAGCCTTGGGTCATCTGTCTCTTTAATGACTATACATATGGCAAAGCACCTTGGCAGCTGGCAAGCTTGTGAAGGCTTCTTCAGAAATATCCTCACTGGGCATTGCTGATTTGCATTGATTCTTTCTTCTACCTATAGCTGCCCATAGTTTCAAAGGCCTTTGGGAACTGTGTGATTCAACAGCAGAATGCACTTTGCCTTTACAACTCTAGTAGATATTGCCATGGGCACCTGGGTGTCCTTACCTGGACATGCAGCTAACCTCCAGTTGTTTGCTGATCTTGGCCAGTAGTTGGTATCGGAATATAAAGGGCCTGCTCATTTCCCTCAACCTGAACTGCAGGTCTCCATAGAGAGCCAGGGGATGGAGAGGGAGAATGGTCTTGCCTCCAGCTGAGTTTTCTGCCCCCTTTTGAGCCAAGCAGACAAAACATTCCATTAAAGCCTTTCAGAGTTGCATTTCTATATTACAGCATGTGGTTGAGTTTTCCTCATTCCCTGACTGGATTGCTTATCATTACTGAAATGGAAATTTCCTCCAAGCTCTCCTTCTGTTAGATACCCTTGTCCAAGAATCAAGGAAACATTATCTCAGAGTTGCTCACTCCTAAATCAATCCTCAAACAATCTTGTAGTAGAAGCATGGAGGAAGATGTTTCCTATGAGATAATTATAGGAAAGTGAAAAATATAAAAAGGAAGAGAATAAGAGTTTAACTTCGCAACAAGGATGAATGTGGCCACAGAGGAGACTTGGGAACAGAAGCAGCAGGTTTTTTCATCCAGCTAATCTAATTGGTCCCAGAGTGCATGTTGTTCTTCTTATATAAATAAATGACAACCAGCAGACGAAATGTGTCTACATCTATTTGGGGGGGGTGGGGGTGGGGGGTGTTTTCTCCAAAATTTAAAATTATCATCGTCCTAGTATCATGTTTTCCCCTCTAGTATTTACTTCCCCAATAGCTGGTATTCTGGGGGTCCCCAGTGCTGCTGTGGGGTTACAAAGTTGGCCTTTTAAGTTTCTAGTAGGCCACTCTCTGCATCACCTACAGGGACTCCTCAGATGTGTCCTGTTTATGAAATCTCTGGGATCACCTGAGACCAGCGTTCTCAACCAGGATGATTTCTTACCCACAACTCTCCCCCATCCCAGGCACATTTGACAATTTTCAGCCCTCACAAATGCAGATCACACTGGCATCTAGTGGACAAAAGGCCAGGGATACTGTTGAACAGTTTACAATGCACAGAACAGCCTCCTACAACAAAGGGTTATGAAGATTCAATGTCAACAGGGCTGAAGTGGGGATACCCTGCTGTAGAATAATTGAACTATTCACTGGCTCTGAACTTGCTACTTTTAGGAAACATGCTCACATTGCCTTGGGTAATCATAACCGCAAGCATAGACCTTTCTTCCTATGAGATTAGTGCCAGCTGCCAGCCTGGAGGGGAGCCCTTATCTAAACACTTGTCACAGGGCCTGGGATAGCGGGAGGACCTATCAGCTGAGGAAGAGCAGACTGGGCATCTCCATCAACCAGAGCAAACAGAATCCAACTGAAAATAAATAGACCTTGACTCCACTACAGGAAAGTTGCATTTGAAGCACTTTGATCATGGCTGAAATTAAGTGGGCCACCAGCGTTTTTACTCTCAGATATTCCCATCGGTAACAAGAGAAATCACTCCAACAGCAGGACCTGTCCATGGCTACCCTGGGTCTCGTCCTACTGTGACCTCAGGACAGGAGAGCTGGTGTGAACTTCTGGCTCTCAGCCAACCCAGCACTAAACCGCAACTTCAGCTTCTCTAGTAATGATTTACCGTTCTGTGAGCCATTGCTGCATAACAGACCACACCAAAATGGAACGGCTTACACAACAGTGAGCTGTTATTTCCCATGCTCCCGTGGACTATTTGGACTAGCTGAGCAGTTCTCCTTCTGCTCTGCATGGTGTAGGTTAGGAGTTATTCGTTATGCTGGGTGGTCAGCTGGGGCTGGGATATCCAAACAACCTCACTCCCACATTTGGGCTCTTGGCATTGGCTGTTGACTGCGGTGCCTGGTTCTCTGCCCTTCCCTGGGGTCCTTTTGCTATATGTAGGCTCATCTCACTCAGTTGTAGCTTCCTCAACAGCATGGCAGCTGAGTTCCAGGAGAAGGAAAGCAGAAGCTGCCAGTGTTTTGAGGGCAGAACTTGGAGCTGGCACGGTATCACTTCTGCCGCACACATTTGGTTCAAGCACATTGCAAAGCCAGCTCAGATTCAAAGGGAGGGAAAATAGAGCGGCTTCTTGATGGCAGGACTGGCTTATGTGTCCAGGGATGGGAAGATGTGTAAGCAGTCAGCGTTGGTGGGGATCTACCCCAAGGACTCCATGAACCTGGCATGTGACTTGCCATCACAGAGAGGTTCCTTTAATCTCCAGAAATATTGTATTTAAATAAGACTATGAACTAAAAGGCTTCATTCATAGATAAGAAGTAGAGCACCTCTTAGACAGTCCTTAGTGCCTCCTGGGGCCTCAGTTTCCTCAATTGTAAAAAAAAAAAAAAAAAAAACTAGCCTAGAATAGAGTTCTGGAACATATGAATGTTCTCATTTAATGCAGCCACCAAAAATGAAATTATTTCCCTCAGGGAAATATTTCCAGAAGGTTAGGGTTATGAATGTGCAGTCAATAGTTTACAAAATGCACTGCCACTATGAACACATACCTTACTGATATCTATAGGAAGCCTCCTTTGAACTTTCACTCCCAGATTTTATCTCTTGCTTGTGGCTTCTCACCATGGGAAAAGTCCTCCCACCACAGGGAGCTTACCAAAATCAATGTTTTCTTAAGTCTGAAAGAGAGCAGTTAACCAACTCAGAAAGTTTCAGGCAGATAACAGATAGAAAAAGCTAGATACCAAAGCCAAGAAGTCAGTAAACTCAACAAAAACAGTTGTGATCATAATAACATCAATAATAATAGTCATGTCATCAATCATCTACACATTATTCTTTACATGTAGAATATAAAGGGGTCAGGATTTGCAGAGAGGCCTGGGACTTAGATTCAAATCTTATTGTTGCTGCCTACCGCTGAGTTCCCTTCATAAGGTTCTTTTTTTCTTCTTCTTTTTTATATTTTTATTGCTTTCAGAGAGGAAGGCAGAGAAAGAGATATATAGAAACATCAATAATGAGAGAGAATCATTGATTGGCTGCCCCATGAACACTCCCTACTGGGGATCAAACCCACAATCCAGGCATGTGCCATTGACTGGAATCAAACCTGGGACCATTCAGTCCACAAGCCAATGCTCTATCCACTGAGCAAAACCAGCCAGGGCCATGGTGTTCTTTTTTAAGTGTTAAATGAGGTCATATAAACTTGAGCTTGCCAAAGCCCTGCGCACAGTAAGCCTGCAATCAAGGGTAGCTTCTTTCATCATTAAATTTATTTTCAGTTGAGGAAGTTAGAACTTGGAAAATAACCATCTGTGTAGTGAAGTTGTTTGCTCTTCACCATCTTGAGGAGGGATGTCAGAGGAAGGAACCCACATTGATCATATTTCTTCTCCTTGCTAAAAATTTCCCATATGCCATCTTGAGTAAGCCTCCCCAGGTCTCTTGAGGTTATTGTGAGGATGAAGACATTGAGGCTCCCAGGCCAGGACAACTTGCCCCAGGGCAGATAACTGAGATGAAACAGAGCTTGGGTTCAAACCAGGTGGCCCTGCTGGGACAGAGGCCCAGTGTAAACAGGAGAGTCAGCTAATGTGTCCACATCTAATGAAGTAAACATGGAAACTACAAGGTCATCCATTTGACTTTCAGCCTTTACCTATCAAGGACTTAGGTTCTTTATCTCTAAAATAGGAAAATTGAAACTCCAAGTCAAAAGTTCCATGACTCCATAATTTAGGGTTTAAAAGTACAATAGTGATATTTAAGTATCCTGATTTGTATTTTTCTTTAAGTATTGTTTTAAAATCACACTCTTCTAATTTTGTGTCTCTGAGAAGTCTAGTTTTTGAATTATTGCGGTTTGGAAATCTCAAAATTACTAAAATATATATAAAATAAGGAGAGAAGGGTCCTTAAATAACTGAGATATAAACTAGCATAGCTGTAACACACACTTTCAAAATAAAATTAACCAAGAAATAATATCTAACCCTTCAAAAAAAACGCATATATAAAGAAATGCTAAAGTTTAAGAATGCCATTTTCTCTAAAGATATAAGCCATTCTTCTCCTCAAATGTAGGTTTAAGGATTGAGAACGTCTGTGGTAATCTCTAACCTATGCCTCTATCATTGAAATAAATAAAGACAGAGAAAAACACTAGTTACTCTATTTTCAATTACTGTTAGCTCTTTTTTCTCTCTCTTTCCACCTTCCTTTCCTCTATTGGGTTAATTTTTGGGGCCCACCAAAGAGATTTTTCCACCATGTAAGTTGGCAAACTACCAGTTTAATTCCCAATCCTGCCAGTGGGTAATATGGTTTATATGGGGAGGAGAAGGTGGTGAGAAGGAGATTTCCAAAAGGAGTCTTGTCACTTAGCTAATACACTATGTAATAGAAAAGATATAAAGAAATTATTCACTGGCTTGCTGGTTTAAGAATAACTCAAATTCCTACACAGAACTTCAAATTAACTGGTGGAATTATCTTACCTGCAGTATATTTTAGTTGATTTTCTTCTATTGAGGTCAAAAGAAAACACAACTTTCCATTCAGGAAGAAAGAATAAACACTCCTCATGTTTTCTACTTCGTTTTGACAGCAATTCACAGGAATAGCATAGATACCTTTTATGCATGCACCAAACTCAATATCCCTCTATAGG